GTGTAGATGTTAGGCTTCCTAATTAATCTTAGAACTTCGTGCGTAAATCTGATTGCATGAAGTTTTTGTTTTGAGTTTCCAAATGTATCACACATTTTAAAGGTAAATTTTATTTGTACAAGAGTACTTATTTGTGATTTGGCCTATTATAATTAGCTGATTAGGCCTATTGTTCTCTCATTATTCACCCCTGAAAAGTGGTACGGTAATAAAAATGCACGGTTAAAAAAAAAAAAAAAATTGTAATAAAACTCATTTTTATTTTAGATCTGGATGCACCTACAGTCGATCTACCTAAATATGTGTTGTATGGGGATGTATTGAAATTTGTCTGCGCTAGTGGCGCTGCTAACCCTGATGCAAAGCTTACGATTTTTAAAGAACGTATGCCAATAACGTCCACAACTGACACTACGCTTTACTACTCCATCAGCAATGCAACAAAGAGTGATGCTGGTGATTACTACTGTAACGCACGTAATGAAGCAGGGAGCAAGAATAGTGACATAAAGAAACTTATCGTCCACTGTGAGTTGAATTTTGATAGATTACGCAGGGAGTTGTTATTCTAAATAACAACTCCCTGGATTACTAATAACGGAAATCATTGTTCAAATACAAGATTTAATATTCAGGTTTGCTTTATTATCAACAACCAAACATGTGATAAATGAAATTATTTTTGCTTGCTGCATACAATGAACGACATAGAGAGACGGTAAAAGGCAATTAAATATTTGAAAACATCGAAAAAACATTGATAATTAATGTACTTACCTACTTAATTTATCATCTGGCAAATCCATTATTAAATTCATATAGATAGCATTGGCTATGAACGAATTTCTGCGTCTATTTGTGTGACCCCTACTTGGCATGTTGTTGAAGTGACAGCAAAGGAGTATCGTAGCGCGTACGGTATACGAGCCGAGTAAACACTGACCTAAACCAAAATATAGGCCCTACCTTATGCGAATAAAATGTATTAAAAAAGGTATTTTTCGATAATTGATAAATTACAATATTTCCATGGATTTCGATTTGTTCCCGCAAATGTGGTAGATTGTGATGATGCAATGTTTTATATTATTTAGCAATTTCAATATTAAGGCCTATTATGTTTGTATTCTTCCCTGTTACTAGATGTCGAATGCCCACAAAACGTTTTTAATAATCGTACTAGAGTTGTAGAGGGGAGTAAGCTGTCCATTACGTGCCAAGTATACGCTGATCCAATCCCGACATACACCCTATACAAAGACAACATCACGATTAAAAGTGAGATTGGAGATGTTATGGAATATACCATTGTCAAAGTGAGGCAAGAGGATGCTGGTAATTATTACTGTATGGCGACGAATATTGCAGGGACCGTGACATGTAGAAAGGAAAGTCTGGTTGTTGAATGTAGGTCTTCTTGATTTAATAGAAATTTCTTCTTTTAGGAAATTGAGTTTCATCTAAAGTTGATTTGTAATCTTATTTTTATCGTGTCTACACACTTGCTAGACACTTTTGTTTCAGCCAGATCTGAACACAAGTTTCTGGCACAAGTTCATCAGATAATATGGGGATACAAGTAGATATGTGTTGACATGTAATGCTAACATGAGCTTTGTTAGGAACTTAACGATTTATAGGTACTGTAAATGCTCAATGATTACAATACATTTGATTACACACATAATATATACACACATATATTTTTATATTTTTATCATCGCAGTAAACCCGTCCGCTAGAATTTCCAAATGCACAATAAAATCTTGAATCTTGAATATTATTAACAATACTGTATATAAATAAATGTATAGGCCTAAGCTATGTAACGAATATACATAACATGGAAAATATGATGCAGGAAATGTCGAAAATAATTTAGTATGAATCAAATAGGCCTTATAAACAGTTTACCTGAACCAAAACTCTCTGAATTTGTATACATTTTTATTTTAGATCTGAATGAACCTACAATCGATCTACCTACAAATGTGTTGTATGGAGATGTATTGAAATTTGTCTGCATTAGTGGTGCTGCTTACCCTGATCCAATACTTACTATTTATAAGGACAATATGTCAGTGGCGTCTACGATAAACACTACTCTTTACTACACCAACAGCATTGCAACAAAAAGTGATACTGGTGATTACTACTGCAATGCACGTAATGAAGCAGGGAGCAAGAACAGTGACACAAAGAAACTTAAAGTCCACTGTGAGTTGAATGTTAATATTTAGATTGCTACTAACTGAAGTCATTGCACCAGTTATTTACCGATTTAAATAGACCTATTCAAATACAGTGGAAACTCTTCTTTGGGACACAACTATTAAGGGTATACCCGTATTAAGGTGACCCTTATTATAAGAGGACACTTTTTTGGCCACAAAACTAGGGAATGTATTTATCTTTTAATACGAAGGCCAAACCCTACTTAGGGAACACCCCTATTAAGGGGGCACAATATGATTGGTACCGAAGGTGTCCACCTAATAGGGATTCTGCTGTATTTTGTATTCCTCTCTGTTAAAGGTCTCAATTGCCAACGAATAGTTGGTTGTAATAACACCTGTTGTAGACGTGTCCGCTGTCCAATACGTGCCCCGTAAACGCTGACCCAAACCAAAAAATACATTAAAATACAAATAAATGTCGGTATTTATATATTTCCCTGGATTTTGATCTGTTACAACAAAGTGGAAGATGGTGATGTGATGTCTTGTCTTTAAATATTTAGCAATTTCAATATTAAATAAGCCTATTATCTTTGTATTTTTCTTCCGTGTTACAGATATCGAATGCCAACAAAACGGCTTAAGAAATAGAACTATTATAGAAGGAAATAAGCTGTCCATTACATGCCAAGTATACGCTGACCCAAACCCAATATATACCTTATACAAAGACAACATTACGATTAAAAGTGAGATTGGAGATGTTATGGAATATACCATTGTCAAAGTGAGGCAAGAGGATGCTGGTAAATATTACTGTATGGCGACGAATATTGCTGGGACCGTGACATGTGGAAAGGAAATTCTGTTTGTTAAATGTAGGTCTACGAGATTACAATGGGATATTTTTTTTTAAATTTAAAGTTGTGTAATTATTTGACAATTTATAGGTAAAGCTCAAAAAATAAAACCCATTTTTTTGTAGCATTTTATATCAAAATTCTTCCTATATTCTTCACATCTTCTATAAACACTTAGTGTTGTCATTTAAATTTAACTTTATTGTATATCTTTGTAGTTTTGATTCTGTGCACATTTTACTGAGGAAAAAAATCTGTATACGTAGTACTGTATTATGATTGACAATGAAAATCTTGAATCTTAATAATTTCCATAACTGTGAAAATGATGTACAATCATATTTAGATGTGAGGATACTGTCCATTGATTGGCTGGATGGTGTCGCTACTTGTGTCGCTGATGGTTTTCCATATCCCACTGTCACCATCAGTGTAAATGGATATACTGTTGCAACTGGGCGAACTCGGACTTCCACTTGGATTGAACCGGGAGCTTGCAAACCAATAGGGAGCGTTGTATGCGATGCATCTAACGGAGAAACTTCCGCCGAGCCAAAGACTCTGCACTTGTGCGGTGGTAAGACCTTTTGAAACTACACAAGACTATATGTCATCTATCTAAGCAATTATAGTCGTTAGCTTATCAGACTGTGTTGACAGATTGTTTAATTGTTTTTATGTAGAACTTTTTATAATCGTTTCCGTATACTGTATAAGTATCGATATTTCTCCAATGACCCCGTGGCTTCATATAATGAAACAATACGTCTGGTAAACGAATATATTTCTTTTTAAATGTTAAAATAAACATGTGACTTAGGTTATTTGTTTTTCAATTAAATAAATGTTAATATTTGTATATTAAATAAAACGTTTAATTGGAGGTGATTATCAAACAACAAAAATATCAATATCATCATCAACAACAATTACATTCACAACATCAACAAAATTAACATCAGCATCATCAACTACCAGCAACAACAACATCAACAACACCAAGAACAACATCATCAACAACAATATCAACAACACCAACAACAACATCAACACATCAGCAACATCAACAGCATCAACAACATCAACACGATTAACAATATCAACAACATTAACAACATGAAATCAACATCAAAAACATTGAACATTTTAAGGAGAAAAAAATCTCTTCACTTAGTGTTATGATTACGTAAGTTTTATTAATTTCAATAACTGTGCAAATGGCGTACAATCATATTTAGATGTGAGGATACTGTCCATTGATTGGCTGGATGGTGTCGCTACTTGTGTCGCTGATGGTTTTCCATATCCCACTGTCACCATCAGTGTAAATGGATATACCGTTGCAACTGGGCGAACTCGGACTTCCACTTTGATTGAACCGGGAGCTTGCAAACCAGTAGGGAGCGTTATATGTAATGCATCTAACGGAGAATCTGTCGCCGAACCACAGAGCCTGCACGCGTGCGCAGGTAAGACATTTTGAAACTACATTAGACTGCATTTATTTTCTCCAGATCATCGTCGCTTAAAAAATGATTAATACATTATGAAGTATGTATTGATACATGTGGTACATCTACGTGGTTTACCGCAAGATTAATATATATTATTACTTCGCCAGGCAAACCTTCAAATAATAAACTATAAAGTCAAAAATATAGGACAATTTTATAATTTATTAATCATTTTTAACTTTACAATTTCAACATCAGTCCTCATTTTGACGTAAGTCTAGTTATTATTTTTTTGTTTTTGTTTCAATGAGTGACAGCAACCTCCAAATGATCACATCAACTTAATACGTAAATAACATGTATTTAATTGAATAAAATAAACCTCATGATGCATTTTAAAATTAATATTTTAAACAAAATAAAATCATCAAAAAATCAAGAAAGGCATGAAGTATATAAAAACATGAAAAAATGCGACGATAGTGGTGTAGTGAGTGTGATGTGGAGGATTCTAATAATTGCACCATAGAACCCCCAACCTGCAGATACAAATTCAAGAATGCATTTATTTTTTAATGAGTTCAAAATAAGAAAGTAATTACTTATATTGCACTATTTCACTATTTATTCAGATGCCCCGAAGTCTAATCTAGTCTATCAGCTCACCTCAGGAGGTGTGGGGTTAATTATCGGTTGTATTATAATATTGTCCATATTCTGTATTTTGGTAAGTGGTATAAAAACATTATTCAACATCAGAAAAGAAATTTATCTGAATCATTTTCAATTAACTGAAGGAGAAAACCTACAATATAACGGTCATGACGTCACGTCCAGTCCAATTACGTTTAGCGCTATTTAAGATCACATCGAAATACCTGTTAAGATGTTACAAGGGCCCAACACCTTGGTATTTCTTGTTTGAATAAAAGTTTATTGTAAATATTTAGGAGTTCATTCATGTTGATAAAAATTGTATCTGGTTTTCAGAAAAACGTCTGTCATGTTAGGCAATCGATGAATACGAATCAAACTGATCAACAATGCCAATCAACTAAAGCCGTATATTACCAGTCCCACATTAAGAAGTTTGGTAAAGAAAAAGTAAATGCGGTGGAAGTAAAAGAAGCACAAATTACAGGAGACGCCTATCTGGAACCAATTTTTTCAGGTCCCTATGACAATCTAACAAGCAACAGAGACCTAGAACACAACAGAGAACTGGAATTAAAAGTCATTGAAGAAGGATTGTATGAGACAATTGACTAAAAGAGAAATGTTATATTTTCGAGAAACGATCACCATTTACATACCGGTATATAAATACAGGTTTTCCTCAAATTAGCTTCTAGGGTCTTTAGCAGCTTTGGTGTCTAATTAGAGTAATAAAGATAAAATACATTTCTCGATTTGGGACCACATAAAAGTGGTCTTTAATTGGTGGTCTTAAATTGGAGGGGTCTTTACTTAGAGGGAGACCAGTATTTGATCGTAGGGATATGTCAAGCTTGGCATAAAAAACTAACATCAAATCAGAGTTTTATTCTTAAGTTGATTCCATAAAATCGCTACATTGTACTACAGCAACCACAACACTATGGAGCTGCCTAACCGAAAAGGCTCTCAGATTTGTTGGTGACGAATCGTAATCACTGCAGCTGACTAATTATCCACCAACTTCATTAAGCCCCAGCCTCTCGACGTTCTCGTGCGATGATTCTGAATTCCTATAAAGCTTGATGGCATTTTTATTTCTATTAACAGCAACCCCTGATAAACAATCTCAGAGTGGGGAGGGGCCAAGGTCCTCGAAGACAGCGTATGTAGATTTGGTTAGGGGTGGGAGGTCGCTCAAAACCGCTCGGAATGGGCGAACATTTAGGGGGTTAAATGGTTTAATCCATTTAATGTCCAACAGTTTATTTTCTCTCCGACAGTTATTCTGGTTACGATACTTTTTAGATGATGATGATAAAACTACCATATAATAGGAGGGCTAACTTGCCAAGAAATTGGCATTCATTCATAATTTTTAGAATAGCTGTGCTTGTAAAGAATACATTCTTGTTAATACAGAAAGTGAGGGAAGTTAAATCACAGAATGCCTTCAAGTCTAAACTACTTGTAGTTCATTTCCTCATCTTCACACCCATTTGTAGTTGCCCTTCTTACTCATTTAAAATACAGATTTATATAAACTAATACTTCCAAGTTCTGTAGACCTACCTGTTAATCAATGGTATCTTATCAATATCATTTTGAATTTTATTGTACAATCCAGGTACATCAACAACTAATTATCAGAACGTTTGTAGGCCAACACTTTGCGATGTGATTGTTTTTTCTTGTAAAAATATTATTTTTTAACATTTTCTTTAAATTTGAAGTTACATTAGAGCAGTATGCTACTATATAGTTAACGCTGTCAAATCGCACCCTACTCCTAATCAAACTCGTTTGATGTTTCCACCTTCAGACGGTGAAATTGGAATTTTTTGTTGGGTTTGACGTTGTTTGTACAAGGATTATGTTTAAATAATTGTTAACTGTAACAACAAAATTAATGTTTACCATTTTATTTTCATGTTAAAAATGTTACAATCTTATTCAAGTTGTTCATTATGATTTTGTGCATTTTTTGCTGGTAATTGCTTTAAATAGTAGTTTGTATTATATTTAGTAATATTTTAATGCAAAGCAGTGAACATTCATAATTGAAAAATAAAGTTTCCTTTTCTTATCTTAGGCCTAACTCTTTTTTGTCATTCTTCAGACTGTACGCTTCTTAAATCTTGAGGCGTGGGTTTAAGGTCAGTAACGGCATTTTTGGGGTATTCCTTGGACGAAATGTTTCAATAAGATTTTCCAAAGTTAATATTACAATTTCAACTAAATTAAGTTTTTATGGGAATTATTATGATGGACTGTCTGTCATGAAATTCATTATAAAAATTAATATAAAAATTATTTAAATTTAAGCTGACACACTTTCCACAAAAAAAACCTATTCACCTTGCACTCCATGACTTTAGCCACAGTATACATTTAACCTTTTGCACTTTAAAACTTCAGCCAGATTGTATACCTTTTAACCTTTGCACTCCATAAACTCACTCACAGATTGCATACTTTTAACATATACACACCATGATCTCAGCCAGACCATATACAGCACTTTTAACTTTTTTGCAATCCATGACCTCAGTCCGACCATATTATACCGTTAACATTTTTTGCACTCTCTGACCTCAGCCAGACCCCATACCTTTAACTTTTGCACTCCATTGCAGTGCTAATTGGAACATTTATTATAATATCAATCATAACTGATGTTAGCATGCAAACTTTCATTTCACCATGATTCACATGTACAGTAACATTGTAGACCTGGGTTGGGGGATGGCCTGGATCAGTTAATTAATACCTGTCTCTTATACACATCTAGATGTGTATAAGAGACAGGGGGAGGGGCTAAGTATTTATAGGTGTAACTATAGCGCGCAGCGTTATCTGAGGGCTGAAGACCCGAGCCAGGTGTGGGTATAGAAGGGGTTTTCCCCTCCCCCAAAAAGCGATTTTTTTTTTTTTTTTTTTTTTTTTTTTTTTTTTTTTTTTTTTTTTTAATTGGGACTTCTAGATGGCCGGAAATGGCTGGGATGGGGAAACTAGGTCTACTATTTTTTTTTGGGTCCGACTATCCGACGAGCTTTGGCCGATGGAGTCTATATACAAACTCTTCATTAAGTATTGGTTATGTTCCCCATCTAAGAGTTGTAGCCTCAGATTTGTCAGTCAAAAAAAATGATAATCATATCCTGAAAAAGAATAGTTTTAACACTTTCACAATGCTTCTAACTTCTTTAATTAACAAAATAACATTCACTTTATTCATTCAATGCTCAAGGTGACTTTTTAGGTTTATATGATTAGAATTGTGTGAGTATTAGCACTATGAAGTTATATGTTTAATTAATTGGATGTCAGCCAATTAGGTTTTGAGAAACAGAAACCCAAAGATTCCTTATTCAGTAGTCTAATATTGAGGTGTGTATATAAAAGTTTTTTAAATTTTTTTTTATTACCTTATTTATATTATATTATTTTTTATCTTTCTATTTTTTTTGGGTTAGATTTTAGAAATTGATATTTGGCAGAATCGTTCTTCAGTATTTTTCTACTATAAACTAAAAAAACCTGGTCAAAGTGCTGATTCGCTGGTAATTTGTCTGTATCACATAATTAGACATTTTGTTAAATGTAAAATAAACAGACAAAAAAAAAATAAATAAGTAAAATATATTTGGCTATACTTACAAGTAAAAATAGGAGATTCACTGTCACCTCCAACTCACCACTGTTGAATCATGTTATGAATTCAACATTGATAACTCAAGAGATTTATTACAATGCAATGCATAAATATAGGCTATAACATGGGACATGGGGTAGGATATAAAATGTGATATAAAGGTGGGTCATACTATAGGGTATGAAGTAAACTATAATACGAAAAATGAAATAGGTGGAGTAGGCTATTACAATTTTTCTCTATAAAATCATTAAAATTATCAAATATAAATACTGTATGTCAGATCGAAGGATACAAGTGAAAGATGATATCACAGGCATATGTTTGTAGTTTTGATTCAGGAAACACAGAGACGCAGTAGCAACAAGATTGTGGCACCACGTTTTTTATCAGCAACAAAATAATAAGCAGATTTCCTACGAGAAAAATAAAATTTGCATAAAATATGCTGATTATGGTAGTAAATATTAAAATTTGTGTTGGTATAATATTACAAGGAAGTAATAGGGCCTAATAATGGTTTTTTCAACTCTATAAAGTCGCACCTCCTTACTTGAGGTAGCGCCACCAACTTTTCAGTGCACTTTAGACGAGCCGCAGACTTATCCAAGGTGGAAGCTAACGGAGCCCATCAAACCATTGAGAAAATAGAACAGAATTTCTCTATGATCAAAGTGACGCCGAGGTACCTGCGTGTACACGGCAGTGATGGCGTAGCTTATCCTAATCGGGGGTGTGCACCTTCATCCCTCCCCCTCCTCCTTCGCGTTCCCACCAGTTCATTAAATATTTTTTGTTGTTTTTGTTCCTTGTGGCTTAAAAGCTGTTTTTTCCCTGTGTAAGGCGCTATATAAATTCATGACCATTGACCATTGTAAGAACTAAAACAAAAACCGTGTAAATCTAGGAAAGGTGTTTTTACCGATATATTGATGTGTGTGAATAGTTTATTCTCGGATTTTGATAGGAACGCATCAAGGAAGGGAAGCGTATCATCCACCTCCTTTTCCACAGTGAATGTTCTGACGTCAATTTAAAAAAATGAAACACAAGTTAGCATCATGTTCTGAATTAAATAAACGAACTATATTATCTACAAGGTTAGTAAAACAATACTTTGCAATCTTTAAATTTGTTGAGCCAAATCATGAAAAGATTAGCGAGCACTGAGATAGCGGGGACCCGATAGCCACCCCCATCAATTTGATTAATTTTAAACATAAATGCGATTGTGATACTGAGAAACAAGGAGAAACTCTGAAGGTTTTTATTTACTTATATTAGTGATTTCCAGAATGTAGAGACCAATTAATTCGTTAAGCAGTTTTTTTGTAACGGTAAAAGAGGCGTTTGTTTAGACGATTAGAAGAATACAATAACATCGAAATTGAAAGGTGTGCATCATATTATAATTAATACTACTGTAATATAAACTCTAGTAGTATTTGGTAGACAAACCAGTCCTTTTAAACTTAGGAATATTCTAGCACGAGAAATTTAAGGTTGAGCATTTGAAACATATATTTTCAGCTTTTACAGACTACCGTGAAGTACCATGATAATCTCTATTGTATGCATTATGATAGGTATGTGTATATTTAGCTAATTCCAGGGAACAGTGCTCAATTTATGTGTCTCCCGTATATATATATATATATATATATATATATATAT